TTTCTTCCAGCTCTACCATGGAACGGTTGTAAGCATGCTTGTGTTGATGCCAGCCAAGAGACAAGTCTGGGATGTCATTCCTCCTTTCCACCACTGACAGCCTCCAGCTCCATGATGAAGGAAATAACAGCTGCAGAGCAGATACAAAGTACTCCATCCTCAAAGCACACACCTGTGAAAGGCATGGCTCCCAGCAGTCACAATCTCCCAGCATTCTGGAGCTGGGGAATACTGAAATTCCTTAACACATACTATTAACTAGAAGCATTTATCTTTGTTGAATTTCATGTTTTAAGAACTCTACATCCCCAGATTTAATGATCTGTTCAGTATAGTACCACTGGAAAAGTCTCCCTAAAAGGCTTACCTTACATCAGCAAAATACACCAAACCATTCCTGCATAAAAGCTTAAAAGGAAAAACAGACATGAAAAAGAAAGAAACATGCAAATAACTCTCACATGGAGATGGGTGGAGTCCTGTTCTCCCCTGCAGAGGAAGGCAGGATGCGCTCCAACGGAGCAAAACTCAGGGAGCCAAGGTTCCTTTTAGATGCCAGGAAGCATTTCCTGACAGTCCGGACCCCGAGGGTGTGGAATGGGCTTCTACGGGAGGTCGTTGAGGCCCCATCGGTGCGGGTGTTCAAGGATAGGCTGGACGTGCACATGGTGGACTTGTTGTGAGTGGAGCCGGCTGGAGCCGGAGGTCAGACTAGATGGCCCGGGAGACCCTTTCTGTCTCGCTCTGTTTCTATGTTTCTGTGCATGGGGAGGGAAAGTGGAATGAAGGGGATGCATAAACCTGGGCTGACTGAATGGTCCTACTTCTCCAACCAGATCCTGCATCCTTCTCCACCATCCATTAAGGTGTGTCTAAACACAGGTCCCAGCATTTCCAGAATGTCAGAAATGGTGGGTCAGGAAAGGCCCTGCTAGGACAGATAGATGCTGATTGCAAACTAGCATGCTGAGTCTGTAGCCCATCTGGATGCAGAGATGACTGCGGGGGACTAATTTTCTTAAGGATTCAAGGAATTTGACTTATTCAAGAAGATAGGGGGAAAGGACAGGCCCAAAACCAACTTCTAAATGAAGGAATGATAAACAAGACTCTAGGAGAAAAATACCCTGAGGTATTCCAAAGGGAACCCAATAGTGCTTTGTCCCAGGAACATAGTTTCTTCCAGAAAAATAAAACCTGCCTCTAAATCCAGGACTCAGTCCAGGAACCAGAAGGAATTACTAAAGGAAGGTATCTTTTCAAGCTTCTGAAAATATTTGCCAGAGCTTAGTTTTCAGCTTAAAAGCATCACAGAACAATGAAATTATACTTACAGTGAAGTTAACCAAGATGCTGGGCACCCATCTTTGAACAACTCAACAACTTCCCCTGCAATGGGTGATTTCTCTTTACTTGCTACTCCCAAATCTGCTTTTGAAGGGTGTTTTTCCATAACCATATCTGCTTAAAGTTCTCTTCTTCAAAGATAATTTCTTTCTACCATATCAGCCAAGAAAAGCATATGATCTTGACAAACTGCCTCAACAAAGATAACGATGGGATCTCCTGTATATATTTCTGTGAGTTTGAAAGGCATCTCATTTTTCCCCAGGATATGGAGGGTCCAAAATTTGCCCTGAAGATCCCGTATCACCTGGTACAGCACCTGTTGTCCTCCATCTAATGTTTCTGGAGACTGTTGAGCTGAAGTTACCCTCTCACAGGTATGTACAAAGATCAGTTCAGCATGCACTTTCACTAGAAGACCCAAACATTGCAATGTGTACAAATGCAGATTTCATGCAAGGGAGATGAGAAACCTATTTAGACTCCTACTTGCCTTTTTTCACATCTGTTCTGTGCTTGTCACTGGGTCTTAAACATGCTTAATTTACCATAATCAATAATTGTGTGATAGCAAAAATAATTCTCTTTATTCTGCAGATGCTTATGCTGCAAATAAGAATAAATGCAAACATATTTTCATTCTGTCTTTTCTAAACCCACACATTCTCTCCCTCTTTCTCTCTCTCAATTGCTATTTCTCTTTCTCTAATACAAGGGCACATACACACATACGAAGACTGGGAGTGGACTTTGCATTCAACCAAATCCAGAAATCAGAGGGCTGAATGAGAAAGATTCAGGTGATGCCTCAACTGAGTTTTGCCTACTCTGAATTGTACCCTGAATCATCCTAAACCTCCTTTATGATTTTCTGTTTGGAGGGTCCAAGTGGTACAAAGGGTGGCCAAGAATTGAAACGTTTCTGTCCTGACTCTACAGATCATGAAAGCAGCTCTTGCTACTTTTCCCTCCAGTAATGCAAGATGGTTGTGTGATTGAAAGAACCTGGCAAGGTGTGGCTTTGGGTGCCTTCTGGAATGCTGATGGATTTGCTTTGCTTTGCCTCCACTATCCATGGCTGGCCTGTTGTACTTTCTGTAACTTTTTGGTCCAAATAGCTTAAAATAACCTTCGGTAGGGGCAGTACTGTTGGAATGAGTTGAATAAGTGAAGCAAAAACTGCAAAGAGAGAAGGAAAGAGGAAAATCAGGCAAGCCGCCTCATGTTTCGCACAAGAGGAAAGCGGCAGGCTATCAGTGGCAACACTAATAGTCATGAGGTGGGAATTGTTCCCTCCCCGTGGACCTTCTCCCATCTGCTTAATGCATCTATCCTGTCATATTGTTTGTTTTTCAACTTCAGTCCCTCTCTATGCTGTTTTCATAAGACTTCTCCAGGCTCTAATGCATCCTGTTTAGAAACTGCTAACTGGGGAGTTCTACGTGCAAAGTTATTTAAGACATATGGGGAAACCATTACTACAAGTTTCCACATGTGTGAGTGAGTGCATGCATGCAATTCAAAAGCAGATTGTAAAAGAAGCTCCTGAAACAATTTGTCTAGGGCTAAAATGCCTGCAAATGGCAACCATACTGGATTTTTTAAGAAAATACGATTTATTGATTTTCAGTACTAGAAATAGAAGGCACAATAGTTATATTACAAATTGTAGTCAAATCTTCATCTTCCAATTGTTGCACAACCCTAATCTATCCAGATCCTCATCACCTGCTGAGAAGTGCTCTGCTATTTCTCTGAAAAAGCAACAAAAATTACATATTTTGCTTTGTAGATATCGGTTTTAATGACTCCATAGAGTAGTTCTAGGTTGCAACAGAATGAATCCATTTTCAACATTCCGCAATGCTTCTTCCTTAACATAAGACAGTTGGACTGAAATCCATACTCCAGTGAAGCTGCAGATTAATCCTAGAGGGAAGTCCATGGGATCCATTCCCTCCCACACTATGGAATCACACTGCAAGGACATTCAGTGAATGAAAAAGAGCAAGAGCAGAGTTCTTTTCATGATGGAATGACTAGGGCAGCCCTCTGCACAGAATGCTTTAGATTCTCTCAGAATTCATTTCCCCCAATCCTCAATCAGAAATGATGCAAACAGGACAAGAAAAATAATGTAAATTGAAGCTTTTCGGAATACAGCCTTCCTGTGAACTTTTGAACAACTGTATACATGTATTTGGACATTTGAAACAAAAAGAAGTATTTGAAATCCAGTGCTTATATCAGGAATGGAGATTAGCTAGAACTGCTAGATGGAGGATATGCTGAAGAGGAACAGAAGGCGAGCCCTTAAATAAGCAGAAACCAGAATTCCTGAAGTACAGTTTAAATTTGTGGAAGAATTTCACACTGATATTGCACATGGAAACAGTACATACCCTGGACACTGTTGAATATGGGTTTATGGGTACAGAAGACTACCATACTATAAGCACTGATCCTGATTACCTCTACCCAACTGATCCACCTCTTGAAGTATCATCTGTTGAATCTATTATTATTATTAATGTTCTCATGAACATCATCTACATTTTAGGACTTTCGGGGAATGGAAATGTCATCTGTCTACTTCACTTCCACTGTAAGAGGAACCATTTCATGACCTATATCCTCAATTTGACTAAGGCAGACTTTGGGGTCCTTGTGGCCCTATTCCTGATTGGCATAAATAATATGCTTGAGGGTTTTATTTGGAAATCATCCATATATGAGCATTACCATAGTACGGTTTGTGAGCATTTCACCCTTACGTACAACACGGGTCAATTCCTTTGGACAGTGATCAGTGTTGACGGGTGTGTGTCTGTCCTCTTCCCCATTTGGTATTGGTGCCATCACCCCACACACCTGTCCACCGCTCTGTGTGCCTTCATATGGGTGATCTCCTTCTTCTCTTTGGAATCAACAGAACACATGTACCCGTTTAATATAAGTGTACTGTTTTGTCTTCCACTCATGACTGTCTCCACTCTGATCCTCTTCTTCAAAGTCTGCTTTAAATCAAACCAACAGAAGCGGGGGAAAGTCTTAACAGCCATCTTGCTTGCACTCCTTTTCTACCTGATCTTGGCTTTCCCATTCACTTGCATTTTCTTCATCAATGGCTTCTTGGAAACTTCTCATATCAATGGTGCTGAGCTCTCAAATGTTGTGTTATCATGTGCCTCCCTAAGCAGCAGTATTAACCCACTGATTTATTTCCTTGTGGGGAGAAGAAAGAGGGTTCGGTCTAGGGAGAGCATGAAGATCATACTCCAGAGGGTTTTCAAAGAGGAGGAGGAACCTAGAGAGCAACTGTAAGAAAGGGTTAACACCAGGTTATGATGCCTTCACAAGAAAGGAAACCTTCAACCTTTATACACACCCATTCTTTTTAAAATTATCTGCAGCTTTTTCTGATCCATACAGCCAAAAGCTTTGCTATATAGATCAGAAAGAAGAGGTGGACCTTCTGAAAGTCTTTGGTGCATCCCAATACGCTCTATACATTTACGATATGATCTGAATCTGGATCCTTTGGACAGTAAGAAAAGAACTTCCTCATTTCCTACATTCAGTTATGCAGGCAGTTAGATGTCTGTATAGCCCATCTGCTGTGTACTTGTGGACGCTCAACTGATGAGTCGTCTGGAGAATGTAGTTGCAAGGAATGGATGGTTGGGTTCACAGAGGTCTACAAGTCATATTCCTCCTTTGCTTTGGACCACTAAGGCAACAGCTCCCTCAGTACTTGATTCCTGCTTCTGCATTCCAGCCATTCTTTCAACTTTGATCTACTTGTGTCATTAGTGACAGTGTGATTTGTACTTTTGTTTTCACTAGTAGTTGGCTGAGTGCCTTCTGAACTCAACATCTCATGTCCAGGCTCTGTCTCCTGTTTCATTTTTTTCATTGATTTATCACAGAGGTTTCAAGGTAAGAAGATTCAGAACTGGTTTACCATTGTCCTCTTCTGTGCACCGGTAACCAGAGTTAGCCTGAGCATCACTGCCATCTACAAGATCCTCTGTCAAGGCTGCTGTCAACAACTGCTTCTGCGCGGTATCTGTCTCCAAAGTTTGTCTCAGTCTTTGGAGTTGTTGTGTGAAAATGTTTCTGTAGGCAAGGGATGGGTGGGTGTCCTCCTCCTCCAAAGAACTGCAGCAGTGCCTTAGCCATTCCCCCTCATGAGTATGGAAAAAACATGTATCTGGGCAAGATTCACTATCTAAAATGTTTTGGAGAATGCCCGGAGTACAGAGGGAATCCTACCCTTTGTGTTCCTCCTGCCTTGCACTGGATGTCCACAATTGTAGAGAGTGGGCCAGGCACTCACTCTTTCCAGACTTTACAAGGGTCTGCATTGTCAGATTCTGAAGAAGTGTCAGACGAAGGGGTGATGCAAAGGCAGAAGTCAACATTGCTGCCAGTTCCCAGCCTGATCATGAGAGCAGACATGTTTTGGGATGGACAGGAGGGGTCCCAGTAGAGGAGGGAAAATTGCTGCCTTACCCAGTTCCTGACCCCCTTAAGAGAGACAAGCTACCAGTTCAAGGACTTCTGTAGGTCTCGCCAGTTGGATCTCCACCAATGGAAGCCACCCTTAGGGTAGATCCTGTACCACTCTGTGAATGGAAGTCTTGGAGAGAAGTTTCTAGTTGAGCTCCAAACTCTTTATCTGAGCATAGAATTATCATTCAATGTGCTAGAGGAGTCTGAGAGTTGCATTGACTTGTTAGTCATGAGGGGCCAATAAAGTATATCATAAAGGACTGTCGGGTGTTCAGAAAGAAAAGAGAAGAGTCTAGCTCTCAGCAATAATCCTCCAATGTCTGAGTGCTTAGATGACAACCATCATTGATTGATGAGCTATCATGGCATGTAGACTGATGGACATTCCTTAACTTGGCTTCCTAGATTAAGTTTAATACAGTTAAGATGAACATTGCATGCAGGATTATCTGTGTATTAATTGGGATACTGCTATCTATTCCAAGCAACTTCTTTAAAAATATTGATGCTTTGGTTCACAATTTTTGGGAGGATCTTCCCTACCCAATGAATGTTGTTGCATTCTACGCATACTGCAGTAAAAACAAAGGTTGGTTTGGCTTTGTAGACCTTGCCTGATGTCATAGGACTTCTTGACTAGTTTGACATTCTGGTCAATTCCTCTTAGATTAAGTGTTCTTGTGGCCAGTTTTCCAGTCCTCAAATCTGAATTTTCCCTTGAGTGGATGTCATTAGGTTTTCGGCACATGGAAATGGATTGGGAGTCTCCAGTGATAACAGCAGTCAGAGAGGCTGTGGCATTCAGATCCTTCCTGTGGGAAGTGGTGAACAGTTGGTTAGCCATTGTGTGAAAAGAATGCTTGGCTGGATGGAGACTTAGTCTGATCCAACGGGACTCTTCAAGGATTGCCATATCCTGTCTTGCCAATTACACTTCAACCGGTTTTCTTGTGCTGAATTTACTTGTTAGGGAACTCCAGATTTAAAACATGGACTATATTGGGGGCATGGACTGGCATTTTTACTTTGCATCAAATTCATGGGTGTAGATGAAGGGTTTTTCCAATGTTTGGTTCTGCATGCCAAATACCATATGATTGCTTTGGCTGATTAGAAATACCTGCAGGAGCAACATTTGTTAGACTCTATTTTGACTCTGCTGACTTTAGAATTTCAACATCCCCTTTGCTCTTAGGAGTACCAATAAAAGCCGAGCAGTTTGATCAACTCACATTTGATGTGTATTGTTGTTGTTAGTCATGAAGTCATGTCCAACCCATCGCGACCCCATGGACAACATTCCTCCAGGCCTTCCTGTCCCGCACCATCCCCCAGAGTCCACTCAAGCTCACACCAACTGCTTCAGTGACTCCATCCAGCCACCTCATCCTCTGCCGTCCCCTTCTTCTTTTGCCATCTATTGTTCCCAGCATTTTAAATTATACATTGATGTGTATAGATGCTTCTGATTGGTGAATAAATATAACAATGCCTTCAGTGTGAATGGAATAGCAAAGGAGATCATAATGTTCTGTTTATTAGGCAAAACAGTATTTTTGCTTCTGTGGCATTAAGGTCACATCATATTCAGAACAAAAAATGATTGTTAGATACCAAAATCGTTTTTTTTCCACGTAAGGGTTTGACCAAGACAGCTAAATGTTGGAGGTTCAAGGCTTCAATTATCCACAACTTGTCCAATGGTTGCCAATGATCAGTGGATGCTTTTGTGTGTGTAAAAGTTGTAGAATGAGGAAAAATTAGTAGCAGAATGCTTTTTTGATATATATTGATAGATCTGCTATTTTATTAAACTATTTAACTGCTGCACTTAAAGCATCACAAAACCCAGAAAAGAGATAAATGTATGGAAATTTGTACTACTTTTCTATATTTTATGCCTTATAGTATATCTCCTAATCTCCTTATACTGACATCATGTTGTGAACTTTCTCTGTTTTATATGGTTTTGTTTCTTTTGGTGACAAACACATGAAAACAATTGAAATGTTTTACACTGTTTTCATCCCTGCATCTTTATACACTTCAGTTAGCTAATTACAACTGGTGTTCATTTGCTTTCCTTAACTTTTGCATAATGCAACTATTTTCATTTGATGTTTTAATACAATCTTACTATTGATTTACTGGTAGGCCTCACAAATATGTAAAGTGTCTTTTGCTTTGCATGGTGTAATCTTTACTTGTACCAGTCACACAACTTTATGGTAAATGAGAATAAATATGTTTGCCCTTAATCAGCACATAAGTCATATTTAATTTCTGCATATCATGATCTTTTAAATTTACTCTTCCTTATAGATACTTAATAACTGCTGTCTTGCAATATTTCCTTTGTGGCACGTTTTCGTCTTTCACTTTGCATTTTGCAAATTGGATTACAAGTGCTGAATGTTACACTTTTTCAAAGAAGGTAACCATAATATTTAAAAAAGCCCTTTTGGGGAAAAGTACACTTTGAAATTAGCATTTATCCAAAAGGATGAACAGCAATGGGGATAATGAGTTCAGGCGTTGCTTGAACTGCAAACAGTTAGAAGGCACTGATCCAAAAGAGAAGAACTGGTGCACCGGGTTTTAAAGGAGACCCTAGATGCATCGGAAGCTGCAGAAATCTGGTGGGATGGAGAGGACAACGAGCTCTGGTCAGCTCTGGATATCATTGTATAGGAAGGACAAGGAAGAGAGTATTGCTCTCATATCCAAGAGAGCCCAGATTCCAGCAGACTTGTATTCTACAAGCTGCTCTTGTAAGGTCACAACTGCAACTTCATTCGAAAACCAGGGAAGGAGAGGAAGTGGTGGATGGCTGAGAGTGGATGGGAGGACAAGAGGCAAAACCATGGCATCTAAGACCTGATGGACCTTCCATCCTTCTCCCCATCCTCCAAAAGGTAAGACAAAGTCCCAGTTGGTGTGAATGTTGTCAGTACTTTGTCTAGTATTTTAAAGAGATGTACGTATGTCAACAAAGTTGAATCAGTTCCCCTTCATTCCTGGATGTCTTTCCAAAGTCAATGGGCATCATGCTTTCCAAAAATTGGTTGATTCAACTGCAGTTGACTTTTCTTGCACTCATCCCATGCTCCCTCCCCTCCCCTCCCCTCCCCTCCCCTCCACACCCCTTCTATCCTTACGTTTGCATAGCATTTGCATTTGTGATCACTGAAAAGATGCATGGCATCACCTTACTTGCATAGCAAACACTGAATCTGGGGCTGTCTTGTTTCTTCCTGCAGGACTTTCCATTCAAGCAGAGAAGAAAGCAACACCCAAGGAGAATCTGAGCCTTCAGCAGGGTGGACGGCCTCTCTGTTCCTGGCCTGTGCTGTTTTCTTGTGTCCAGTCATAATTCTGTTCCATCCTGTTCCTGCCTTCCTCTGTGAGTTTCTTTGCACATAAAAAGCACCCCCAACAGTGCATTAAAATACTTCAAGATGGACTTTCCTTTGGAATGTGCATTTTGTGGCTTCCTCAAAGTATAAATATGAAGAGTATATCTGATATGCCTGCGATCCAAGGAATCTCCTAGAACTTTTGCAAAGCATTCAAACTCACAAATAAGTAACTTGTTTGAAAGGTCGTTCACAGCAGGTTGGACCAGAACCTGGAAAGGCTGAGTTGCCTGGGAATCCGGAGAGGATGGGCAATCTGACTGCGCCATCTCAATCTTCTATAGAAGATACTATAGAAGAATTTTCGATTATATATAATCTCACTGACTTCTCAATGGTAGATTTTGACCAGGAATGGTTCATCATTTCCATTATCCTCCTTATTCTGTGTCTTTTTGGACTTGTGGGGAACGGAACAGTCATTTGGCTCCTTGGTTTCCATATCGAGCGGAATGCTTTCACCACCTATATCCTGAACCTGGCTGTGGCTGACTTTGGGGTCCTCATTACCCTATTAGTAGAATCAATTATTACAATTGAAATGGGTAATTGGGAGGAAATAAATACGGCTGTTTTATTGGCTTTTTTCTCTACCTGGGGATTCCTGTACACCTCTGGTCAGCTTCTACTGACCACAATCGGTATTGACCGGTGTGTGGCAGTCCTCTTTCCAATTTGGCATCGATGTCACCGGCCACCCAAATTGTCCCTCTTCATTTCTGTCCACGTATGGGTCTTCTCCCTCATGATGACCGGAAGTAATCTGCTGCTTTTGCTTACTGGACATGGCCCAGTGGTCCCAGTCGCTATGAACGTCCTGCTTTGCTATCCACTCATGGCTATCGCTACTCTCATCCTCTTTGTGAAGGTCCGCCATAAGCCACGTAATCGTGGCAGATCAAAAAGTTTGACGGTAATTTTGCTTTCCCTCTTATTTTTCCTCATCTTCGGGATTCCTGTTAATCTCACCACTGTTCTCACCTATTATTACTTTTTATATGATATTGATCCTAGGAATTTTTTCTCTGATGACCCAGTATTTGATCATGCACAAAAGATTACCATATTCAAGTACTTTAAAATCATAATGGTTTTTCAGAGCCTTAGCGATCTCTGCATAGCTGTAAACAGCAGTATCAACCCCGTGCATTATTTCCTTGCTGGGAGACAAAAGACCATTCTACGGGGGGTGTCTAAGTTGAAAGTTTCACTCCAGAATTTTTTCCAGAATATGGAAGATTGGAGGGAGGATGAGGAAGCCCCAGATGAAACTCAGTTGTCATCCTTTTAATGCTTAGGTTGGATACTTTTCTGAGGAAGCCACATTCTTCAAACATTGTTCCTGCAATGGGCTTGCCAAATGCTCTTTTGTAATTCCTGGCTGCTTTTCTGCCATTGTTTTTCAATGTTTTGTTCACTTGTAACTTATATATTTAGGTATTCCTGCATGTCTCCCTCCCTTGCCCAGTTCTGTGAAGATAAGATTTTTAAAAATGTGTTTGGGGTGGTGGAGACTTTAGGCCAATGACAGTAAGGAGCAGAAGACCCTACTCAGCCCCATAACAACCTGTTAATGCTGACCTCTGCCCAGAAAGGCTAGATGTGTTTCACTCAGGAGAGCAACATCACCTGGGAGTGACAGGTACTTCCCATCGCATGCTGCCCTGGCTGCAGAGTATTCGTTGATGGGTGGGTTGCTTGCCATTGGCCCTCCTTTGGCTCGGGAGCAGGAGCCAACCCGCTTCTAGGCCTCCCTCCCCATACAGAGGGAGGACTCAGGCCTCTGAGGCTGCCATGCCCTCAGAAGAGCTAACAAGGTTGGATTCTCCCAGTGGCCTGGTTAATTCTTCTGAAGTTGGGATCGGTCCAGTTTCAGAAGGAAGCTCTGTGCAATTCACTTCTCTAGCTGCCCTTTCGCTCTTGTATTAAATGCAGGTCTGTGTGCAGGAATCATTCTTTTCGGGCCTCCAAAGAGCCAATTCTGGTGTAGCTTAAGCAATATGGCTTAGCATCTCCGGGAGGCGAAGAAATGGGTCCACCAGGCTCCTTCAGCTCACCTGCTACTCAGCACACCCTGCAAGCATTGGGATCCTGCTCTCTGCTTACCCAGCTCATTACTTCCCAGTTTCCCATGATCTGAGGTCAGAAGCTTTCCAATGCCAAGCGACATTCCCTCAGGCCTAAGCCCGGTCTTTCCTCCATGCAAATTCTCATTGTCTTTTTGCTTCGCATTCCCCCAGCCCAACACTGGCTGATTCTTTCCTGCCATGGGATGGATTGTGGGTTGGCTTTCATTGCTAGGACTACTTGGCAGGAATGCACTGGGCAGGGATGTTCGCACCAGGAGTTGTGCGTACTTTTTCATGCAGAAAGACTTTCTGGCAAGCCACAAGGGAACTCCTGAAACAGCTCCATTCTTGATGCCATCCTCTGGGCTTTACCATCCCTCAGACCGAGATCCTCAGGTCTCTTCTGCCTTCTAAGCAGGATTTCTTCAGAGAAGTTATATTATTTTTGCATGTTGAATTATTCTCACGTTATGCATTTCAGTGTGTGTTTGTGCATGAGAGAGAGAGATATGGAAGAGTGCTTTATGGGTGGGAGTGGGCTTTGCATGGGGGCTACTCCGATGTAAGTCTCTGTTCCCTTTATCAGCTTTCATGCTGTGCAAGGATGGATCATTCCCTGGCATTTGCCGGGAGGATTCTCCACTCTCTCTTTGGAGCATGATTGTTGAGGGGCAAGTTCAGGAGGAAGGGGGGAACTGGTAGTGAGTAATCGAGATCAAGTTGTGTCTGTGTGAATGCATGCCTCAGTGCTGGGGTGGGGCGTTGGAGCTGGGGTTTGCTGCCCCTTCCTGGATGCTTCCTCTGTTCAAAATCCTTGTTCTCCCTGAGGGTGTTTCTCACACGAAACTCCATTTGAACTCACCCTTCTTTTGCTCCACACTTTCACTGTTTCATCAAGTTGGAAGTTTTCAGGGGGTGGGATGGCCCCTCTGATCGATGCAGTGATCCCACAGATTCCCTACAAAATAAAGCATGAAGTCCGCATTTCCTGCAAGAGGGATGGGGCGATGTGGAGCCACCCTCTGTTGGTCACTTACTTGAATGCATTTTGCCTTTGGGGACACTTTTGGTGCAGTCAGTTCAAATGGATTCAAATTGTTAGTGAGGTGAGGAGAGGAGAGGCTCAGTTCGGCTTGGCTGTTACCTGGATCCTGCTAAGTAACCCATGTAATTTCTTGCAACTTTTTGTGGTTGCATCTAACATATTTCCAAGTATAAATCAAAAGGCATTTTCTAATCTTTGCCATCATGGAAAAATCCATTTATATTATATTGGTTATGTTGTCCTGGCTATGGAATGTCCCAGGTTCACAAGGACTCCATCTTACCCCAGAAGGGGATGGGATTAAAGTAAGGTTCCAGTTGGAAGAAGAATAGCTGGAATTCATCCTTCCGGATTTCTCCTTTCCTGTGCAACCACTCCACAAAATGTTCTGGTCAGTTCCCCTGCACTCCCAGACTACGTTTTGGAATGCAAAAGGCATTTCAATCAATCATGCTTTTTCTCTCTTGCTATGTTGGAGCTTGAATTTGAATGTTGGAGCTTGTTTTAGTGTGTTTTTACAACTCTGTTTGCTTATGTGCACAAATGATACTTCTGGTAATACTGCATGGCTTTAGCATAGAGATTTTCAATGAAATAAACAATTAAATGAGAATAAAGGATGCCACTCTGGGAAGATATCATTTCAGTTATTTCAGAGATGTTCAGGATGTCCCCAGATGGAAAGACCTAGAATGGAACTCCTGGTTCATTGTGTATTTAAATACAAAGTTTAATATTGAAACATGCATCAATGATGGCATTGTAGGAGAACTAAGGAAGGAGGATGGTGTTGGCCACTTAGCATTAACCTTAGCAATGTAGTTGCTTAATGAAAAAAAATGAACATCAGGTACCTCCAAAGGTTGCTCTTCACGTATTAAATGAAGATATAGCTATGTTTCAAGACTGCTGCAAAAAACTGTACCCACCATGAGAACTGCCGCCCCCCCCCCCAGCCCCCAAATCTCACTGTTGGTGGAAACCCCCCATCAGGGGAGATGGGAAATGGAAAATGTTTTCAACAGGGGCCTTCTCCTGTAGATCTTGCACAGGCAAGGTGTGATGTCCTTGCTGCTCCTGGCCTCGGCCAGTTCGGTATCCTGGGCTGCCGCTGCTGCTCCAGTAGCACTGAGAGGAGCAGCTTTGTCAGCAGGAGCAGGCTGGGATGGTTGGAAAGGTTCATGCACCTGACACAGCTTGTGTGACTCACTGGCTCTCTGTGCATTGCTCAGATTGCGCAGGTTTGCCACGCATTTTTCATTTGTTTCTGAAACCATATGCAAAGGTGTACAAAATTATGAAAGCTAAAATCAGGACTAAAGGTGACTGAAAATACTGATGACACCTCTGCCCCAGCTTAGATTCAAGTGTGAAAATGCACAGTTCTGCTGTCTTGTATACTTTGGGGGAAATGACTTCCGGATCGGGCCAAACACGCTTGCAGCAAATCCAATTCCACCAGGTGCCTGACAATTGGAGAAATGCGGACAACATTGGACTTCATTAAGCTGTAATGGAGAACCGGCTAAGGGCTCCTTGGGATAGAAGGGCTCACCCTGGCATGGAGGCCTGGATGCTTGATAGTGATGGGAATGCAAAGAGCCCTCAATTACTTCCCAGGCAGAGCAGTGCACACCCCCAAGGCCAGAGACTGTAGGCCTGAAGGGCATGCGAGTCTCACCAGCTACTGTCAGGAGATGCCCCCTCGTGAGTCATCAGTTTGATCGAACTGGGCAAAAGCAGGGAGCTGGGACCGATCAGGCTTCCTCTTTGAGGAGAGATTCCCTGTTGCGGCCAAGAAACACTGTTCTGTTCTACCTGGAAGAAGACTGTGTTGGATGTGGTATGTTTCATTAGGGTTGGGGACATTTATTTTTTATTATTTTATTTATTTTATTAAAACATTTTTATGCCGCCCCATTCGCCGAAGCCTCGGGGCGGCTTACAACAA